TGCCCCGGTAGCCCGAGCTGCCAGCTGCAGCGCAGCGATCGCTTCGAAAGCTCTTGCACCCCCGGCGCGGCTGCTGGGAGTGAAGCGAACTGATTTGAGCTGGCAGTGCCAGAGCCTGAGCGAACAGCAAAAGCTTAATTTTTTTTGCCCCGACGTGTCACAGGGCGCCAGGTATTTTGGACCACTTCTGAAAGAAAAAAAAAAAAAAAGGGGGAATTTGGTCACCCTAGTCCTCTCCCAAAGCAGGAGGAGAAGAGGAAGAAGAAGAAGAAAAAACCGTCTGCAGCAGAGCCGAAGAGATCGGAGTTAAATCTCTTCCTGTTGCTGGAGGATGACCTGCAGGCGCTGTTCGCAGCACGGCTGCGGCAGGTAGAAATTGCCAGGACGCCCGTGGGCAATTTACAGGCATTATGTTGAAACGCCGCCGACCACCGCGGCAGGACAATTTATATCGGCTGAAAATCTGCCTCTGAGCTTTAAAAGAGAAAAGTAAATCACTCCGGCAAGGCAGCTCCGGCAAACTGGGGACAAAGCTATTTGCTGGTTATCACGGGCTCCTTCGCAGCAAAGGCACCAGACTAAGCTAAATCTTTCCCCATCAAAAAGTAAGTCGGGAATAAAACAATATTGGAGATGAGACCCGTAGACTTTTTGAACTCTTTCTGACCAACGCCGCCTCCACTTTTCTAATTAATCTCTCCTAAGGGTGCAAACTGCCTTGCTTGTTCCCAGGGGTCCGGAGTCAAAGCTGACCCAGTGGGGATGGGGCTGTGCCTTGATTTCCCCCTTCTCCCTTAAACCACAGCAGTGATTTTTATCCCCACTTTTACTTTTCCCAAGAGCATTTACAAACCCTTCTCATGCTGCCCAGCCTCAGCTGCCTGATCTGATTCCCCAAATTGTCACGTTAAGTGCAAAGATATTTCTTGGGGCGGGGGGAGTCTCTTAGCACAGTATCTTGAACTGCTTTTACCTATCCTGCCTTTTTTTTTTTTTTTGCATAGAAATGTGGAACCTGTTCTCCCAGGAAAACCACTGAAATATTTAAACTTCGGGCAAATGAAGCTGGCTGCTGTTTAATGAATGAAATCCAGGCAAGGCACTCACCTGAGAGTCTTCGGTGGTCGGGATGGGAAGGGGCTCCTGCGGCAAGTGGCTGTCTCACACCGAGGAGAGAGGCATCAGGAACGTTTCCCCTGAACTTCTGTACCTTTGCTTTTCTTTTATTGTTATTAAGAGGGCTGCGATATTTTTTCTCTCTATGGAAACGCTTTCCCCCTCCCTCGTGTATATATAAAAATGAGCGATCACGGGGTTTGAGTCGTAACTCCAGACGTGGAGCCTTCATTTGGACATGATTTCATTAAAATGAAATCAGGAGTTGGCAACGTCACGGGGCTGCGGTGTCTCTCCTCATTCAGAAAGAAAAGGGGGGGAAAAAAGACCTCTGAACCCAACAAGCTCAGCAGGCTGGTGAGAGATTCGGAGAAGAAGAAACGGAGCTGTCACAAACTTTGGGACTTTGGAGGATGGCACAGATGCAGACACACGTTTTCCTACAGCTTTCCCCTGGAAGTAGCAGACTCAGTGAAAGAACATTTTAAATGCAAAGGTTTTCACAGCCCCTTAAGAGGCCTGTCTGGATTTTCAGAAGTGTCCCAGGTTGGGTAACAGAATTATCTCCATCAACACGTTACCCTTCAAAGCGTGCAGGCAGCGCGGCGCTTTGGCAGGTCCTTGCCCTGGTGCAGCGCTCGTGACCCCTGTCCGCCCTGGGGAGAAGTCTGCCCCACTCGCACTGCTCTGCCCCACGCCACGTTAACTGTGGCTGGAGGTGTCTGTCCTCAGGTGCAGGCAGGGAAAGCTTCTGAGGGGTCACGGTCAGGGACCCTTTTTCCAGGACGTGGTAGCAGAGTCCCCTTTTGGAGGCTCCTGACAGCTCCAAGACCCTGCTCGGGTCCCGTCCACTCTGCAGGGCTCCTCTCTGAGCCTGGCTGGTGCCTTCGGCTGCTTGGCTCGAGAAGGCCAGTGGGTGCTCAGTACCTCGGTGCTGAGGAGGGATGCCCGTTGGGCACTGTGGACCTGAGCCTCTGCTTTGAAGTGTCATTGCCACCTTCTTCTGCTGAGGAGTCGGCGTGGGGCTGTTGTGCCTCAGGAGGGACAGGTCCTACTGAAGGCGAAGAAATGCTTCTGCACTCCATCATGAAGAGGTAAGAGCAGCCAGTAAGGATTGTGAATTGAGCTCCATGTTCTCTACCCCGAGCTGTATGCTGGTGAAGGTCACAGCTGCTCCTCTGGCGGCAAAGAGCCACAATCCTGGATCTTCTTGGAGGAGCACCTTTGAACTTCCTACCCAGCTTCTGAAGGTACTGGCTGTGATCTGAGAGTCAGTGACTGGTAGAGATGAGAGCTCTTTTTCAATGCTGGGTAGAGAATTTTCCCCTTGATCATATTCAATTGTTGGCTAAGACCCGTCTGGATCCATCGCTCCAGCAAGTCACTCATCTTTTCATTTTCATTCAAAGCTTTCATCTCCTGAACTGACATTTCCATTTCCCCTCCTTAACCTGCAAGTGGAAGGTGCTTTGGTCATCCGAAACCTTGGAGTCTTTGGTCGTATTCCTGGGCAAGGGAACCCGCTGCAGACATCAGTGCAAAAAGCTTGGTAGGAAACTCCATCAGAACTACCCAGGCAGGGGACTCTTTACCAGCAAGAGTCAGGGAATCACCATCTGTCCTGCAGTCCTTTCTCACCTCTCCGTCCAGCAAACTCCAGAAGACTTACTTATTGCAGAGTGTTGAGCTTTCCCGTGAGAGGGTTGCACGGGCCCTGAAGCTAAGGAAACCCTTCATCTCGTGTTCTGGGGTGAAGAAGCACTGATAGACGAGAGCTATTTCCAACCCGTCCCCCATGTTAGAACTGCATTAAAAATGATTTCCCTTTGCACTCATTACAGATACCTGAGTACTGACTCTCAGAAACCTTTGGCCCTCCCCCCCCCATCAGGTTATGTGCCCTGCCTTTCCTTGACACCCACGAGGTGAGAGGGGCTTAAGTCAGCATGGTTACCAGGTAGCTTAATTAGCACTGATGGGCTGGGTGACATAACAGGGCAAGACCTGAAGCTTGGCGGAAGTTGTCAGAAGCTTTTAAAAATATATATGCAATTCCTTGGTGGTGCCAGGCACCTAGGTTCAGGGGGCAGAGAGAAAGACAGAGGTACATAGCAGGAATACCTCATTAAAAGAGGTAGCACCACATCTTTTCCCTTGGGTTGTCCCACTGGGCAGGTTCAATTCCCTGTGGAAGAAAGCTTCACGCCTGAGGTGGTTGGCGAGGGCTTTCTGTCCTACCCCGTCTCCCTGGGGCAAGCAGATATTGGCTGTGGTCCTTGCAGAAAGCTCGGGAGACCCTTCAGCCCTGCTGGGCTCGGACAACTGACAGCCCTGCATGCCCCAGAGCAGTCTAGGAACTCACATACCCTGATTTCACAGCTCTGGGGATGGAGGAAGGGGGTTGAGCATGTCAATATATGTGGGATGGAGGCTTTGGGGACTGACCTGGCCAACAGGTACCTGATGGAAGTTGTGCAGGCACTCAGAAAGCAAGTGCCCCTTTGCCTTCCAGCTCCTCCAGACCTCATGGGAATCCTGCCTTGGGCCACACACAAAACACCTCTGAGCTCATTAACACCTCCCGGGACCCACACCTCTGAAGTCACATCTACACCAGAAAAGCTAAGAGGGGCGAAGGACTGGGAACTGCCCGTACACTTTATCATGGTACAATATGGACCACGCCAAGCCGTCTACCCTCAGGCTACACCCAGCTCCTGGGGTCAGCATGGGCTAAGGACTGATCCCTGCAGGGTGGTTTGAGTAAGGTAATGCTCCCTGAGGATGTGGAGTGAAGTCCTGCCTTAAGGATACAAGCTGGGCCCAGCAAAAGCACCGTATTATTTACAGTATGGACACTAGCAGACACATCTGTCACCTTAGACCCCGAGCTGAAGTGATGGTGTAGCCACCCACGGGTCCTCACTCAGCCGAGGAAGGGAGATAAGCTCAGTTCATCCCACCCAACAGCTGAAATTACACTTTGGCAGGCACCTAAAATTGTGTAAAAGTACGTAGGGTGAGCCCAAGTCTGCTGAGACTCAGCCTGCTCTGGCCATGGGGCCACCAGGAGCGTGTCCGCTCCATGCTGGCTTCAGCAATGCCCGAGGGATGCCCAAGAGCCTCCCAAAAAGCTGAGCGGCAAACCTCTGTGTCCATCCCAGCATCTCCTCACAGTTCGGGTAGACACACAGGTGCTGGTGGATGGTAGGGCTGCAAGTCTGGAGTGGCTGGGAATTGGGGATGCCACCATCCTGCAGCCTGGCATTGTGTCCCCTTGGGCTAGAGGAGTGCTTTCAAAAGCGCCCTGGAAATGCTTGTGGCATTTCCAATTGAATTGCCACCTGCTGGAGTGGCAGCTGGGGAATAAAAGATGCTGAGAGGTTGTTGCTCCTGGCATGACGTCCAGAGCGCTCACACTTCTGCCCTCGTGGTACCCTAGCGCACTCCGGAAATTGAGATCTAGTGCTACCCCATCACCTGCAGGAGTTTCAGATCCCCGAGCAAAAATTGAAGCCCTGCTATTGCCAAAATCAGTGGGAACCTATGATTCAGGTACCTGGGAGAGGGAATTCAGGCTAGGGAAAGGCATGATGACGCAGTATGTTAATTAAGTTATGTTAAAGCCACTTTCTTCCAGAGGTGAAGGGGTCTTTAGTTTATTTCACTACATTTCCTAAGTGAATTAAACTAAGTGAAGGCTACTGTCTTTTTGCTTGGCAGAGTCCATATAAGAGCTGAGCATGGTGTAATTTCCCCGTCAGAAAAGTGAACTTGGATTTCCTTTCTGAAGTGTTCCTGGGGACACAAGCCCTGGAGATGTGGCCCTTGGCCTCCCTCCGCCATGCTTCCTGCATGCTGAAAAGCTGATGCTTCGAGCACTCTCTTTCCATCCCACCTCCCTCTGCTCAGTTTTAGGTCATGGCGGCCTGTTTTTTTGGACTGCGGTCAGACTGTCAACAGCAAGGAAGGCAAGCCCCTGCTCCTCAGGTAGCCCGTGCCCATGCCTGCTTTGCAATCGAGGCAGGCTGTGCATGCACCTCTGTTCTTCATTGTGAGCCAGGACTCATTTAGCCAGTGATGGCTGCCCCACCTTTGCAACTAGCCTGCCCCTTGCGATGTGTTGGTTGTCCTCTCTCACCGAAGCTTCCCTGGCACTGCAAGGAGAGCGTGTGATGGAGGCAGAACACGTGAGCAGCAGTTTCATCTGCATTGCAAATGCATCGGGCTGTCCCCATGGGTTGTGCATGCTCCATATGGAGGAGAAGGTTGGGAACAGGATGGTCAGGAAGGACTCAAAAGAGTCCAAGACCTGCCTGGCTGGTGGCTGCAAAGAGGTGACTCAGGTATGTTGTGAAGGGGCTGACCCTCAGGCTGTGATGCCCCATGGGCAGTGAAGGGGGTTTTCTTGGCGTCGTTTCCCAGCTGGCTTCTTCAGTGTCTGCAATGAGGAACCTGCCTTATGTGGCAGCCTTGAGCGGGAGGGTGTCTAGCACTGTCACCCACCTCCACTGAGAGGTTCATCTTCATCGCACTTGCAGTGGAACTGGGCCCTGTTTGGCTGAGTTTCAGGGCAGGGGCTCACAAAGGTCCAGGGGAACAGGGCCGAGGAGCTGACTGCACGGCAGAAAGGGACTTCACGCTTAATAAACCACTTTCCTTGGGCAATCAAGCTGGAGACTGATCACCCCTGTGGCTGCAAACCTGCCCAGGGCTGAGAGCTGCTTTGGTCTAGAGAGGTGCCAGGTAAAAAGCAATCAAAATAACCATAAAGCCACCCTCAAAAATCAATCCCACTGCCCGAATGGCCCATATGAATGGGATAGTCTGCACAACGCTTGCAGACGACGATGCCTTCCCGACATGGAGGCCAAAGCACAGAGGCGAATGCATTTACTGTCATCCAGCAAATCATTGCTGGAGCCAGGCGGTGAATCCCATCTCCATCTCCTGCACTACAAGCAAACGATAGGACAGATTTCTACGGCTATTGCCCGTAAAATGTTCTGCTATTGGGAAGGCTTAGTGCTGGGGAACGTCCAGTAGGAGGCAAATCTGCTTGCCAGACATGGAGTCTTCATGGTGATTTTATTAGACGAAAATAGGAAAGAGAAGACAGTGC